ACACAATAAACGAGTTGGAATTACGCCTACGCTTGGTTTATTATATGGCGCCCAACGTGGGGCATTGATACCCTGAGACACAAGACACGAATTGGCCGAAAAACTACCACGTACTCGCGCCAAACGAGGTGGAAATAGGACTGTTATGACAAAACTATTGAATGAAGCGGATGGTCTTCTCAAGGCTGAAACGAGTGACAAGAAACGCCTGAAGGCTATTGCTGTTTCTCTAGACGAGAAGTTAATTTTGGTAAAAACACTCGACGAAGAAATCATAGAGAATTGCGCGGTGGAAGAGGTCGAAGTCGAAATAGAAGAATCGGATGAAATCAATTCACGAGTAATTGATCTATTGCTAGTCCTAAATGAAGCCACGGGTTTAATGGATAACAAAGACGGACTTTCGGTTGTCCCAACAACGAATAACGACAATACTACGCCCCCTTGTTCTCAACAATCGATTACGCCTTCTGGATCAAGTGGAACTTCGACTTTGGCTTCTAAAAACAATGTTCAACTCCAATCGCCCGGGAGTGCAGCTTATGGTGGATTTCATTCTTTTGACGTCGCTTCAACTTCCCACGCTGAAAACATGCAATCATCAGGAAATTCAGGTATGGGCTCTCATTCACATACTAACTTTGGTATGAACGCTAAGTGGCTTATTAGCCTATAGCGAATTACCTAAACTAGTGTTACCGAAATTCAGAGGAGAAATTACGCAACGCCAAGGTTTCTGGGACAGCTTTAACAGCGCCATACGCGCTAATACTCATTTGGGTTTAATCGACAAATTTAATCACTTGCATTCACTGTTGGAGGGACAGGCAGCAAGAGCGATTCAAGTGCTAACTAGAACTGAGGCCAACTACAAGTCTGCCATCGAGATATTACACAAACGCTTCGGCAGAGTGCAGAACATAATATCGACTCATATGGATGAAATGCTTAAAATTCCAGCATGTACTAGCGATAAAGCGTCCCAACCTCGTCTCGTTTATGAAAAATTCAGCATTAACATAAGAGGTTTGGAATCGTTGGGTGTAAGTTCTCACCAGTATGGGAGTTTATTGATTCCTGGGATCATGTCAAAGTTATCTCATGAAATTAGAATTCAAATAGCTAGAAATACCCCGAGGGAGGTGTGGAGATGTCCGACCTGTTAGAAGTGATCCGTCAGGAAGTTGAGGCACGCGAGATTGGTGAGGGTGTGAAGACCAACGTGAGCTTTGAGAAACTCCACCCTAATCATCATAAAACGCCGACCACGAATGCGCTCTTGTATCAAGATGGCAAACGATTTTCGTCTTCGGGAAATCAAATTAAATGCGTCTATTGTGGTGGATTACATTACTCTGCTTCCTGTGAAAATGTGAGTGACCCTCATGCTCGTTTGGAAATCCTGAGAAAGGGTCGAAGATGTTACGTTTGTTTCAAACCTGATCACCATGGTGGCTCATGCAAAAGGAACTGTGGAAGATGTCAGGGCCATCATCATCAGTCGATGTGCCGAAAAGTTGTGCCAAAGAACCCCGATTACAGCTCCTCTACGTCTGGTTTGAACGATCAGAATTCGAGGGAAGGGCAAAACTGGACTCTTGTGAGTCACACCAGAAAACCAATTACGATTGAAATAGACCACACAACAAAACCTGAAGAAGGAAATGAAACTCCATCCTTGGGGAGCACTGTAACCGCAACGTCGACCGCGAGGGCCAAGGGGAGCATTTTGTTACAAAACTGCTACCGCGATAGCAACAAACGAAGACCGATCCAAGTCCATTCCCGTACGAGTTTTCTTCGACAATGGCAGACAACGTTCATACGTCACCGACCACATCAAAGCGAGGCTGGGTTTAACTGCAACGTCCACTGAGACCCTTCACCTTAACACTTTTGGTGAAAACGCTTATCGTAAACAAAAATGTCGTTGTTACTTTGCCACTAAGAGGCAATGAAGATGAGTACGTGGAGATTTCAGCGCTTAATTTTCCAGTCATTTGTTCACCACTTCCTAAGAGAATAGACGTCACGAAATACCCACATTTGATAGATTTAGATTTAGCAGACCGTTCTGCGATCGACAGAGACTCTATTGATATTCTCATTGGCTCAGATTATTACAGGGACATTGTCACTGGAGAATCAATCCGCGGTGAATTTGGTCCCACAGTCATGAACAGCAAGTTTGGTTGGCTTCTGTCAGGCCCTACCGAAGAGCAACATGTCCATGAAATTTCCAATGTCGTCTCGAATCTTGTCATCTGTGCCAAACCATTGTTAAACGAAACGAATGAAGCTGACGAGATCACTAATATGCTGAAAATGTTCTGGGAAACCGAAAGCATCGGAATCACAGACGACATCGAATCAGCAACTCATTTAACACTTAAAGCTAAGCGAAACGAAGAAGTCTCTTTTAATGGTCGTTATTACGAAGTTGCTCTCCCATGGAAGGAAGACTGCTTGCCATGTACAAACAATTATCGAATGTGTGAAACGCGTCTGCGATCTTTGCATCATAAATTTAAACACGAGCCGATTTTACTTCACGAATATGACAAGATTATACAAGAGCAAACGCGAACGGAAATCGTCGAAAAGGTGCCAAATTTAAACGATACGAACGAGCTCAATACAAAGAGGGTTTCTTATTCACCTCACCACGCTGTTGTACGAAAGGATAGAGAAACGACAAAGGTTCGCATCGTTTGTGATGGATCAGCCAAGAATTCTGAGGAGGAACCTTCTCTGAACGATTGTTTAGAATTTGGAGACAATTATATTCCCCATATCTTCCACATGCTAACTAAGTTTCGCTGGAATGCCATCGGGCTTACTGCAGATATTGAGAAAGCATTTTTGATGGTGGGCATTAAACAAGAAGATCGAGACATGCTCCGATTTCTATGGTTCGAAGATCCGTTCGCGAAGAAACCAGAGATCGCAGAGTTTCGATTCAACCGACTTGTCTTCGGTCTACGCCCTTCGCCTTCAATCCTGGGAGCCACAATAAAGCATCACTTGCGTTTGTGCAAGCAAAGCGAACCGGAGATGGCGGAAATGTTAGAAAGGTCTTTGTACGTTGACGACCTGATTACCAGAACAGAAAGTGACGAGGAGGCTCTCGTCGTCTACAAGAAATCAAAGCAAACTATGGTCGAAGGCGGATTCAACCTTAGAAAATGGAATTCAAACTCGCGCACCCTGTTGAAAGCGATCGAGAGTGTTGAAAATTCAAGTGAAGCCAAATCGAATCAAGATATTACGACAGAAGACGACGAGTCATACGCCAAATTACCGACTACACCTAGTAGCTCTGAAGTGAAGAACGGCACGATTGTCAAGGTTCTAGGACTTAATTGGGACACTGAGTCTGATGAGTATTTCTTCGATCTCAGAGAATTGTACAAATATGGCAGTTCACTTCCGGCAACAAAACGTTCAGTTCTGAAACTGACGGCCAAGATATTCGATCCCATCAGATTTCTGATGCCTTTCACCGTTGGAATGAAAATCTTGTTTCAAGAACTTTGCCTAGACAAAATCGACTGGGATAGCGATTTAAAGGGTACTTTGCCCATCACTTGGAACACGCTACTTGAAGAATTGAAATGCCTCAGCAATGTACGAATTCCGCGTTGTTATTTTCAGTCACGATCTGTAGAAATAGAGCTTCGGGGTTTCAGCGACGCCTCTCATTGTGCGTATGCAGCAGTTATTTTCATGCGTTCACTCTATCAAGACGAACGAGTTGACGTTCGTTTGGTTGCCTCAAAATCACGAGTAGAGCCGTTGAAGAAACAGTCTATCCCGCGGCTGGAATTACTTGGAGCAGCTCTCCTCGCACGACTTGTTCACGAATTCAATTCTAACGAAAAACAATTTAAAACAATCAATTGGACCGACTCGATGACTGCCTTGTGCTGGATCAAAAACAAGCGAGTATGGAAACAGTACGTCCAGCATCGTGTGGAAGAAATTCGAAAATTGACTACCAACGATGAGTGGAGACATTGACCGGGCGAATTGAATCCTGCAGATATACCTTCTCGTGGTTTGTCCGCTAAGGAACTTTCCACAGATACGACTTGGTGGAATGGCGCCGCATTCCTTTACGAACTAAAATCTGAATGGTCCGTTAACCGATCGACACAATCCGAAGATAAGGTTGCTCTTGAAGAAGCTGGAAAGAATCCACCATCTGTCACGCATTCACTTGTGAATAATTCAGACGACACTCCAGAGAGGAGAATTAATCAGATAATCGACACAAGGCGCTTTCACAACTTAACAAGTCTGCTCCGTGTAACGGCCCTGGTTATCAAGTTTGCAAGGAAGTTCAAGAATGGAGTTCGAAACGAGAGTACCGAAGAAGAAGTGAGTTTAAAAGCCACTGATCTAAAGGAAGCCGAGAATCTCTGGATCAAGTCAGTTCAAGCATCGTCGTTCACCAAGGAAATTGAATTCCTGCAGCGCGAAGATCACAAGTCGACCCCGCCAACGTATGTCACACAGTTTGGCTTATACCTACAAGAAGGCGTTGTGAGGTGTAAGGGGCGATTGAACAATTCACCATTACCTGA